CTTTTGTCAAATATATTTATTTATAATTTAAATAACTTTATTGACCAAAATTATTATTTTTATTACCAATTTATTACCAAGCATGGCAACTACTGGCAAAACTCCCCTTATGGAAAAGAATTATGTCCAGCAGTGGACAGTTAACAGTGGAAATAATAATTGACCAAAATAAAATAAGGTACAAAAGGCGGACTTAATAATAGTAGCATTATTTACTAATCAACCTTATACAGTGAATATACTGAATGTAAATTTGATTTTTTTTTATTTTGTCCAAATTTAAAATAATCAGAGTATTGTTTGGTAAATGAAATGAAAATGCCTATCAAAATTTTGGTTTAATAAAATTAATAAATTATAATTCTATTTCTATAAATAAATGTAGGATAAATATCTAAGAATTGGGAAAGAATATTATAGAACGGTGTGGTATGTGACCTCAGTCAGCAAGCAAGTATCGCGTGTCTAGCGCCACGCGACTGCTGACTCCGCGCACCTATATTTCTAATGAATTATTAGTTACGTGAAGATGAAAACGCGAGATGTGTATTATATGTTATAAAACCCGTTCATGTACTTAGATTATTATTTATTTATGTAATACTTCAATTTAATTTCACATTTCTTTTACGCAAAAAATAATACACAAATTAAAGGAAGTTTTTCGATCTAAAGAGTAATTAATTATTTTTAAATCTTGAATATCGCTGCGATAAAAGTAATTAATTGATAATATAAAAATTTAATCATATTCTGTGAATTAACAAAATAAAACAAGAATAAAAGTCCTATTTACTCAATATGACTGTGTTGTGACTATTTATCAGTTATTTGTGATAGCTAATCTTTACAAAGTCAAACTGGTGGCGCGCCACCACGGAATGTCGCTCCAGGCGACTGGCGCCGTGCGTAGGGCAGACGCAGGCAACAGAGCGGTCGACGGAATGGTCAAACTGACCCACATCTATTCAGGTTAAACAGATATAATAATTTACCAAATATTATTGTTTTAATATATATCTCAATATATAGAAAATATTTTAATTTAGTGCACTGAATATAGAATAAAATTCTTTTAGCATTTAATCAATAAAATAATTTTAATAAATTGTGGTATTACTTAACTGACCATTACCTGTCAAAAAGCCATTTATGTTTATTTTATGGTTGGCATTTTTAAAATAATCATACTTTAAATATTTTTGTAAGTTATTAACTTGCATAACCTGTTAAAAAAATAAGAAAATAAGATTTGCCTGTTAATTATGTCCGCCTAACACACTGACTATGTATATTTGGCTGCGTAAGATGCATATAAGGCATTCGTAACCATAGTAACACTTATATGGCTTGTTGATTAACTAGATAGTTAATTCAACAAACCATATTCAAGTAAAGAAACCGCTTCTGAATTTGTTTCTTTAAATGAGTTTCATGTGAAATATTCGCTCACTCGTTCTTTATTTATATAAATACATATTTAAACGTCGTATAATAAAAATTAATAACAAAATCTTCGAAATCATAAATTTAAAAATAAAAATCAATAGGTGCCTCATATGATATACCGTAAAAAACAGAAAATGCGGATTCTGTGTAACAAAGTTGCAAAGTAACAAAGCGTTGATACAATTTAGTTTAGTTAATAATACAGTAATATCTGTATATCACTATATCATGGATAAATTACGAAATTTCAAGAATTACTTATCACACGAAGTTGAGAACTGGTAACTCGCGGACATATACCGATGAGTGCCGAAATAGACTTGTGTCTGAAATCGAAACTTCACTCCATCAAGTTTCGATCTGAGGTGAACAAAATCTTGTCCAATTTAACCCTAAGAAGACACAAGTCTGCGCGTTCACTGCAAAAAAAGACGCCGTTTGTCGTATCTCCTCACTTTCAGGGCACTTCCCTTGATAAAAAGTCGATTCTAGGAGTTCTAGGCGTTGATATATCTTGCGACATCCAGTTTTGCGGTCATATGGAGGAGAAGGCTAAGATAGCTTTCAAAACGTTAGGAGTGCTCAATAGGGTGAGACGGTATTTCATGCCGGAACACCGCCTGAAATTATATAAAGCTCAATTCAGGTCGCATATGGAATACTGTTCTCACCTATGGGCAGGAGCGCCACAGTACCAACTTCTTCCGTTAGACCGAATTCAAAGTCGGGCGGCTCGAATAGTCAGCGCCTTACTGTCCGACTCGATCCACTGAAACTACGCAGAGATGTTGCATCTCTGTGCATCTTCTACCGAATTCATCATGGGGAGTGTTCTGAGGAATTGTTCGGATTGATACCTGTTGCTGATTTTCACCACCGTACAACCCGCCACAAACTAAAGTTTCATCCCAATCATTTAGGACGAGTGGCGGTCTTCCACCGTGCGTTTTTCAAGGCACTTTCTTCCACGCACAACCATTCTTTGGAACCAACTTCCAGCAGCAGTATTTCCGAACCGATACGACAACATAACCTTCAAGAAAAAAGCATATTCCTTTTTAAAAGGCCGGCAGCACACCTGCAATGCCGCTGGTGTTGTGAGCTGCAAGCTCGTTTGCCCCCTGTGCTGAAAAACAACTAGAAGATTACAAGATAGGATTAAGATAGGATGAAGAGAACATTAAGATAGGATGTCCTGATATTCCCATGTGAATAAGATGTAATATATTTGCTCAGATAAAACTACTGAAATCAAATTGGTATCTATATATAATATAAAATTTAATTAATCCTCAAACTGTCTGCCAAAATTTCAAATACTATGTCTATCTATTATCGATCAATGGTATCCACACTTTTTTTTACATAAATACTTAATACTTTTACATAAATAATTATTTTAATTAAATAACTTACACAAGTGTTTGTAAACAAATTGCAAACGATAGCTTCGTGATATCATGTTTCAAAAGTGGTACGATCCTAATCTTGCATTGATCATCAATAACCACTATTTGTTTGATACTGTGCTGTACACAATATAATCAGCGATTCTTTTATCGGGTCAATCTTATTGTTATATATATATATATATGTCCATCTATCTATATATATATATATATATATATATATGTGTGTGTATATATATATATATATATATATATAGATTTGATTTAGATATTTATTTATTAAGGCATCTCAACAGCACATATATAAAATAAAAAAGTCTTAATAAAATTAGATCTGATACAAGACCTATAAAAGACGAGCACAACATTCATAATTTGTTGAAACTGACGTACTTTAATCGTATTTCTACAAAAAAAAATACCTCTTCAATTATGTTTTATACTCCACAAAGGAAAATGGCAGTTTCATTGTCATAAAAAACTGTGACAATTGTCACAAAATTAATATAGAAGTAGAACCAATACATACGAAAACTGTATAAAATGTAATGTAACTTATCAAAAGTATTAAATAAATAGATAGTATATTATTACGCTATATATGTCACAGTCATTAATCCGAAGAATCTCACTGTCGATTCGATACTTTGTGGGCGTTAAATATGTTAATATGTCAGAGACAGTGTGAAATGTATACACATTTGAATACAAATGCCATTAGTCATAAATCTGAGTATTTTAGTCAAATAGTACAACACGGCAATTTTATTTACATTTATGATTGGCTATCAACAACCAGTATTTGTGAGTGATTATTGGTTTTTTTTATGCAACTTAGAATAGCAAACAAACTGACGGCCCACCTGATGGAAAGTAGTAACCGTCGCCTATAGACATGAGCAGTACCATGGACATAACAGAGTATATTGTTTCATCCATGATACCCCGCGTGCGTTGCCTATCCTGAGGCTACCCCTTCAAACCGAAACACAGCCATGCAAACACAACTGCTTTACGGTTGAAACATAAATGGGACAGAGGTACTCAAGCAAACGACTTTTGTACAAAATTTCCTTCTGGTTTATAAACAATGTACAAATATGAAGAAACACACATTTTAATGAATTGGTCACGATGGGCCAATCATTAAAATAATTATTTCTAGTCTAACATCATCCACTAACAAGCTGCAAGGATTCATCAATACATTTAGGCTGGGTTATTATTCCATATTTATTTCTAAAAAAATCTATATACACACCCGTGATATACTATAGATATATAATGTACCCAGAAAGAAAAATAGATTGTTTGAGCTATAAGCTGGTGATTTTTTCGGCTAAATTAAAAGTACCCTATGGTATAATCTAAGAAATGGTCTATTTATATACATACTAAACTTCGCTTCAGCCAGTTTAGCCTCATATTTCTAATTAGGATTTCTTAATATGATAAAACGTTAAGAACTTTACTAAACTTATAATTTTTCATAGTTTAGATCGTCATCTTATAACATCCAGGTAAACAAAACTTTATAGCAAAAGAAAGAAAACTCAAAATAAGACTTCCATACTAAGTGGTCCTGTCAATGTAGCAACAGTGCGCTTATATCCTCCACTTATTAGAGACCCACGCTCTGCTGTGGAACGTTAATGGGTTGTTGCGGTAATAATTAAATAAATAAAACGACTCCAATTCACGTTTCTAATATGGTTAGTGATCGAAAGCCTATGATATTTTAATGACCGTTAATCTTTTAAAAATTATCATTTAAATTCCGGTCTAGCCACACCTAACTCGATTTAAAAATTATATAGAGGTATCACTTTTGATTCCTCTTAAAAATAATATACTACAATATTTATAAATAGATAAGTTTATAATAAACTTAGAGACTGTATTATTCGTATTATACAGAATCGTAACTTAGTATTCTAACAACTACTTTCGGGAATAACATTAATCAATTCTTATTTCAAAAAGTTAATTAATGCCAATCCTTGATTTATTAAAGTTATAGAATATTCTATTCTAAAATACATGTGTTTTCTATTACTATGAAATTATAAATAAAATATAACACGATGGTCTTATAAAAATAATATTGCCCGATTAAAAAATAATGATTGTTGTTGTTTAAAGGTATCTACTCGCATCGGCACCTGGACACATCGCAAGTGCAAGTGGTGACCCCAGTGAAAGTGACGCGCGACGGTGAGCTGGTGTCGCACGCGCTGGAACACGCGCACGACCACGGGCACGCGCGGGCGCGCCGCGACCTGTTCCAAAGGGAGCACCGGTTACAGCACATGCTACACTATAACCTCACGGTAGATGGACGAGACCTCAGGCTCGATCTACGGTGAGTTTTACATATTAATTATTGCAAGAATGTTTTACTACATATATTTGTACTTTGTATATCGCATAGGAGAAAAAATTTTGGATGCTAAATTCCTCAGAAATAGCAACGCATGAGGTGTGAATATCACAATGTAATCTCTGAATAGCAGGTACTATCCATAATATGATTCTCTGACATCCATAACGTTGCCTATATCTATCTATAGTACTACGTTATATAAATGTAAAAATTATATTAGTAAATAGGTAGTTATTCTGTGGTACAGTCCTAGACCCGCATCACTTCGAACAATAAGAAACATTTGTACAAATTCTATGCTACCATGGAGTTTACCATGAAAGGAAATTCTGAATTTTCGGACTCAATTTCGTGCTTTTGTTCATACTGAAATCGATCTAGTAAATGGAGCTTAACATTTCATTCGTCATAAATCCTACCATAAAAATCCAAGGGACTGATATTTTTATAATATTTATACGCGGTATATATCATGTACTTTTAACATCAAATTTGTGTTTTGTTTGGCCCCGAAATTTCGGAAACAATTATGGATATTAATATTTTGGTAAGCGGTTTATAAATATTTGTAAAACTCTATGAATATTCTATATATAATATTCATATATTTTATTGAGATAATACATTTACGTGGTCGCATAGATTCATATTAAATTTTTGTCAATAAATTGGCAGTGCCGGCTTTTAAATTTAATAACGTAAAGATTACTTGCTCTGTGGTACAGTCTTATTGTCGTGAATGTAAACTGTATACCTATAATGGATATATATAATTATAGACTGTACAGGATTCTGTTAAAATAACAATTAACGGCCTCTACGTATCTAATTTGACGTACTCGGCTTCACCTAGTCCTTCTAGTATTACTTTGGCGTATTCTATTTTATTAGACCAAGTTTTTGTTTTCAAATTATATTTCGAGCCTAATATTATTATGTCGTTTTAATGTTCTCCAATATGTGAATGGCAATGGAATTTCAATTTGTTGGCTTGACTTTCGTTTCTCTTACTTAATTCGTATCGTTATTTCACTTAGATAAACTCAATAGGTATTTTATAACAGTTTTTATCCAAGTGTAATGAGATTTTATAGTGCAAATTTTTTGCAGCAGATTCATTTGACTTATTACGTTTTTTTGTGAACCGCACACCCACGTAGATCAATGAGCTCGTACAAAAAGTATAATAATGAAATAATCAATCATATCCAATCACACGAAGCCCGCGCAATGTCTGATACAAATAGATAATTAAGTAGTGCGCGTGAAATGCGTGAAACAATCGAATGAGGCGACGCGCTGCAGTGACCTGACCTCAAGACTATTGTTTGCGGACAGCGACAATCGTTTGACTCGACCGCAACGTTTAAGATAAGCGTTCATTCTTAAAATTAGCAGATAAGTAATATACTAGCTACAGTATTTGCCAAGTTAAGAACGTTCTTTTGAATCTTTTTCATTTTCAAAAGAAAGAAATTCATAATTCGATCGTCCTTTTTTGAGTGCCATCTTTAACAATCTTTACCAATTTTCTGTTGACTTTGTCAATTCTTTTTTTAACTACTAACTTCGTTATGTAGTGTCATTCCACATCGAAACATATTTTAAAGGTGGATGCGCTTTTTTATTCGTAATATATTGCCAGTATCCGTTGGTTTTATTGACATATATTATATTATACTCATTGTACGAGTATAATAGGTACATGCAATCTGTATAGACACTCAGACGTAGAGTGGGTGTTTACATCTTTGTCTATTCGTATATTAGTCGTAAGTACCTGTACTTATATCAATGATGTATTTAGAGTAACATCTGACATTGAGCATATTTTCATTTTTAATAGATATGTTAAATCAATATTTTTTTACCTTTGAGTGTACGAAGTCACATTCCATTTACTTATTCCATCTATAAATGATTTATCTTACTATAATAGCTAAACATATCCACCTATAGAATGTTTGTCGTAAAAAATAATGTTTAGTTTGGCAAAAATCTTTATGGAATAAGACATCAAAGATATAATGCAGCACGACTCATGCCATCAATATACAGACTGGAAATGATTGGATGAATCAATTGTTTAAAACTTTTGGAAGTAAAACTTTGTCTTTTATATACCTATTTTAATCTATGAACAGCTGATAACAGCTTAAAATATGTATTCACTGGAATACATATTTTATAAATATATAAAGTATGATATATATTTAGTATTCGTATTTTACACTTTATTGCAACAAGTTTAGCATTATAATACACGTTGAAAAAGTTTGCTAATTAAGATTGTATAAGCGATTTTGTTTGTATAGAATATAAAAACAAAACCGCTTTAAATTGTGGCAAAACCTGTTATTTTCATTTAAAAACTGTCTATTCACTAAAAATTCAACAAACAAAAAATTACAGCCAAATTGAGAACCTTCTTTTTGAAGTCGTTTCAAAATAGGTATTAAAGGCTACTTGTATCTAAATAGATAGTGCTAGTATGGTACTAGTGATAAGATTACCTGTCTAGTGTCTAGTCGCTGTAGTTCCATCTTTACACAATGTAAGTGTTGAGAAAGTTGATTATTGAGTTGATTAAGAGAAGGAAACATTTGATTTGTTTGTTTGTGAAGGATAAACTAAAAAAAATATTTTACTACCAATTTTAAATGTTTTTCACTTACATAAAGCTACATTATCAGCGAGCACGATAGGCGGTATTTTATTAAAAAAATCACAAGTAGTCTGTCTGTTTTTTTTTTTAACGAATGATAATGGAATAGTAATCCCGTCTATGCTAACGGTATACGTTGGCGGGGCACCAGTGAGTGATGATAGGTAAGAATGAAAAGGCAGGTCAGTTAGCTAGCTCATCGTGATGAATACGCCTGATATTTAGCACTATACTTTCCAGAGAGGAACCACGTGGAGGTCGACCTAGTCATGATCGAAAGAGTATACTACTAGCACCGGAACGGATAGTTCGTATTACTAACAGTCCCACCCTACCCACTCCCCGTTATCAACACGGTGGAAGTCGGGGTCTGTCGCTAATAGTATATATTCTTAAAAAATATGTCAGACGTTTATCCAACAGTAAAAACTTAAAGCGGGCCTGCAATGTAGTCTCATATTCATTAAAAGAGGTAGGTATTATTTCAATAATAAATAATTAATAAGAGGATTGCAAGTCTCTACGTAAGGGAACACCGGCCTTGAGACGGTCAAGTCAAAATAGCTCGGATTCAAAGAATTCATACATAAATCTTAATAAATCTGTATATCAATTTCTTTTGTTGTTGCGATGGACGATTTTATAATAATATTTTTGTAACAATTTTATTTTTATTTTGTCTGAATTCACTTTTGCTGTAGCTAGCCTCAGGTATTCACTTTGTATATCTAATCACAAACTTTTGTTTGACAGCTAGGTTAAAAAGAAAAATAATATAACCCGTACGACACAAGTGTAAGTGTCGTGTGGTCGTATTATGACATCGAAATACGACATTGAACACAAATAACGTCTTGTTTTATTTTTATTATATTTACAACAAAAAGTTTCATTGAATGATCAGATTCGATAATACGAACGTAAGCCTAATTAAGTCATATATTATCTGTGTTGGATACAAGATATTAATTTCAGACAAGATGTTGGCGATGCGCCTAATTCACCACGCGCGCTACTTACTGAAACAAATAAATTTCAGTGGCTATTCTCGTAGTAGATTTTTAGCGAATTTTATACCTACGTCTTTCTTCTGTCTAAAGTTATTAGACATGAAACAAAAAAAATATATTGTTTTCGGATGAAGGTATTTATCTGTTAATACTTTAAACATAATTTAGCACTTAGCTAATTTTAGTGTTATGGCTATTTGTTCTATAGATATCTAAAAATGCGTGTACTACTTACTAGTTAGTGACTTTAAGTAAGAAAAGTAGTATTTTTTATATTTTATTTTGAATACTTGCTTTTTGCCCGTTATTTCGTATGCCTGCATTTCAGAAGTAGAAATACAAATGAAATAAACTACTTCTAGATAGAGTATCAAGATAAGATACACCAGATTTTGAGTTAGACCTACAAAAATACAACTATGAAACTGAATCCAAATTGATGTAATAGTTTTTGCGTAATATCGGAATAAACATACAGACAGATAGATAGATAGAAATTATTGTTTTGGTTTTTATTACCCTTATTAAGACCATTCATAGTAAGTTTTTTTTTTAAATATCTCCCATGTACAGATATCATCTAGTTACAATTTTATTATATTAGTTAGACACTTACTTAAAGTCAGTTATATATTTCAATATGAGAAAAAAATATTTACGGATTGAATGGCATATAAAATCGAAATTGCAAATAAATTAATACCGTATGTCAGTATTAATAAGCGATTTTACAAAATTCCGTTAAGAAAGGGTTTCTCGCCAGCGAAACAATAGTTAATTTATAGACATAATTAATTATAATTAAGCCCGTTAATATGTTTAACATGATTTTGAAAGCAACCCTTGTGCAACTAAAATAGTAATCAAACAAACTTCACGAATAGACTGCTACTAGTAAAATTAGAACAAAAGCTCATTTTACCTTTGTTAAATATACCTACCTAATGAATTCCTAATTTGGAGACTTACTGACATTCTTGTAGAAATTACAACTTTACAATTTTGGACTTTACTATGACTATGCGACTACCAATTACGAAATATTATGCGGATTGTAACTGCTTTCAATTGTACTAACATAATTTAACTAATTTCAAACTCACGTTATTTAACATTAAATTTAAATACCATACACAAATTGAATATACATTTTTTCATATTTTGCAATGACAATAATCTAAAAAGTGTCTAAATAGCGAACGTTAATCATGCAATAAGATTTTATTACATATCTTTTAAAAAGATTATTAATGTTTTGGAATTTGATACTAACTGTTTACTGATACACTTATGCACCATTTTAT